GTTATAACAATATTTGCGATAAATTTAGATCAAATATTAATTATTTGCGCATTATTTAAAATACCGTACTTATATGACATGCCTACTCCGAAAATACAAAGTTATATTGCAAAACAATGCATTTTGTGACATTTATTTTGCACTCATGAAAATATTAATTTATTTTTCTAACTCAAGTCGACAATCCTATTTGCCAAGATTGACACAAGTTTGGTCGAGTGCCGGTGGTATTCGAGTCGACGATAAATCAAAATAAGTTTGCCGCATTTGGTAAAGACAGGTAATCATATTTGGCCGACATATTGCGAGGCATTGTGAAAAACATATTGAGCAATGCCAAGGACAGATATATAACGATAAAATCGGTAACAGAACATCAAGATTTTGTAATAGAAAATGGATCTCGCGCAGAATAAACACGTGAAATCCCGTCGTATTGTTGTTTCTCTGCCGTCTCAATCGCTTTACCGATGCCGAAAAGACTAAGTTGCGTTGATTTATTACGCAATTTCTCTTCCGTCTTTATATTGCTGTTTGATAAGCGCGACATTAATAATCACGGCATTTACAAATAGACCATGTTTTATAAGTTGATCTCTTACATTCTTTAGTCATTTCACCCGAAGAAGTTGAAACCAGGTGTGTTGACGTCCATCGGTCTCAACACAATTCTATTCCTTATCTACGGTTAATATGTACATTGGCCATCCTAGATAAGTTGATGATAGGTTAGTAAATGACGCGTTATGCCTTCCCCATCTGCCTAACAAGAGAGAGAAAAACGGCTGCGAATACCGGAACTCTAACTTCTTTTACTTAAACTTTAATTTTTTACAATCGACGGAATTGACTGCTCTGAAGAGAGCTCGTTTCAATCGCGAAAGCGCTCGACCAATAATTACGACTTTACCTAATTCGTAACTTCGCTTCCGTAACTCGAAATAATTCCGTAAATCCGTAAATTACGTGCAAGCCTAGGTTATGTTATATTCACATGAATAAAATTTACCTTATCTGATCTTCTTTGTTTATTATTATTTTAGATTAAATTGTCTATATGCCTGAAAAATGTTCATGTTTTGTGACAGGCGTGCCGCGATATTAAAAAGGTTGGGCTGCTTTAGATTATAGTCATGGTACTCGTTCGAAACATATTTGTGGGGTCAATATTGGTCGACGAGAGATTAAATATGAGCGATCAGGATATTTCGATTGGCTGAATGAGAATATTTTTCCGCTTCATGGCATATTTTGTGATTTTCAATGTGTAATATTTATTAATTGGGTTATTGCGCGTACGTTTTTAGAGGAGCATACATTTCCTACCAGCAAGCCTTGAATTCCTCCCTAGTGAGAAATTTCCCATCGGTTGAAAACCACTGGTCTAACTAAGCGAACGAAGTTTCTGAGTTGCTGCAAAAATTACCATTGCTATTTGTTCCAAATCTCTATCACTTTCATTTTACATTTTATATACATATTTGCCATTTGCACGGCTTCTAATTCTTAACAAAGATTAGTATAACAGAAACGTAGTTTTCAACCAACCATCAATCGTTTTTATTTCGGTTCTCAGACAACACAACACAAAAAGTGAGCAGACAAATGCAGAGATACCTGGGAGGCTAGCATAACATAAAATATAAAAAGCAGCTTACAAGTACGAGCCCATCAAAATAGAAATAAAACGAACACACGAAATAGTGAACGCGGGCAATTATTTTACCGCAATTTAAAATGAGCAAAAAAGCATATGTGATTTGTCTGATTTGTGAAAACGCTAATTCAACAAAAAATCAATCTTTCATATTTCATTCACAGAAAACATAAAACGGCGGTGTGGTGGTCGCTGGAAAAGCAGAAAATTTGAGGGCCATATGAGATCACGAATAAAATGCGTGCTCACCTATTTTTCGATAATATTTTATTTCTTTTAGGATTTAGGTTGTTTTAAGTTGATACCGTTTAGGTTCTATTTTATTTCTGTAATATTCTGTGCAATATAACATATGTAAAATAAAACAGAAAACATAAAACGGCGGTTTGTTCGTAAAACAATAGTGGTGGTCGCTGGAAAAGCAGAAAGTTTGAAGGCTAGATGAGATCACGAATAAAATGCGTGCTCACCTATTTTTCGATAATATTTTATTTCTTTTATGATTTAGGTTGTTTTAAGTTGATACCGTTTAGGTTCTATTTTATTTCTGTAATATTCTGTACAACATACATATGTAAAAGTTATTCTTTGTAAAAATAACTGACTGTTTGACAAATTTTCTGTTTTACTAGCGACCCTGTACAACAATACTGTATACAGTTAGAAAAGTGTATACCCTGAATATTAGAGTGAAGTGTTATTCTGCACCTTAAGGATTTCGGAATCACGACTTGGCTATATGTTCCATATATGTATCAGTAAATTTCTGACAATTTCCAAGTTATATTTGCTTGTTCAAAAATATGAAGAAAATCGAAAAAGTCACTTTTAACAGAATTACTTCATCATTGTTATGGCCATCCAATTGAGCAAGACCCTTCAACTTCTCGGCCATTATATTCAATGGCGCGGTCTTCTCTTCAAACAACTCATGGTGCTTTCGGAATGTGGGTACAGCCAAGCAATAGCTTTTGAACTGTTTTAAAGTCCAATTACACGTAAAAGTTATGTTATCGTCAACTTTCACTTTTTCAAATCCTGAAATTTTTTTATAAAGTTGACTGTACTTTTGGGCCCAATGTTGACAAGGATGCCCAATGTCTTCGAAGTGTTGAAATAAAGCGTTGGTGTAGTCTCGTAGAACTGCAGAGCAGGAAATCAGATTCTCACCAGTTCCTGAACCATTCGGTGGCCTAAACACAGCAAGGTCTTGGAACGCGTGACTGTATATCGCACAAAGTCCAGTGCTCTTCAGAACCCTTTTACATTCGCAAAGAAAAATACTCAAATCCATGTAATGGAGAACACCGTTTGCAAGAAGAAGATCAACAGAATTGTTTTGGGCCGGCATGGATTTTTCACTACCAACGAAAAAGTTAATGTTGCCTGCCGTATTCGACGCTTTTGCCTTCTCTATCAATATTTCGCTGATATCAAAACCGATAGCATTACGAAAATTTGATATGTAATCTTCAATATATTTCCCGAAACCGCACCCTGCGTCTAAAAGTAAGTCAAAACTATCCTCATTTCCACATGGGTTTAATTTTTTACAACGTTTCAAAATATATTCTGCTACCAGTTTTGGATGTCTGAGAGGAGTTTCCAGATAGGTTTTCGCAGAATCTTTGTGAAGCCAGTCATCCATGTTTCAGCTAAACAGTCCAATCTGAAATAAGCGCTGAAATAAGCTACGTTCAGAATACACTTTACATTATTTCCGGCCGGAAATGTACACAACCTGATCCATATATTAGGCGTACTGGCTTACAGCGCACACGATCGCATTTTGAGAAAAAACAAAGACTTAAAGCATATAGCCTACGCCTTATGGTTCCTAAAATATGGTAATTGCTTTCGTACATTCGGGAAAATATCGAGAAGTTTTAAACATTCTCTCCAAAGGGGCCGATGCCGAATAATAGACGAGAAATTAGGATTTTTGCAGAACGAACGGAGTGCTTTGTATTACCAAATGCCTACCAAATTCATCAAAAATTTACGCCAGTGATTCTCAACCGCGGCTCTTAGAAAGGCTTAGAAGGCTCCTTTAAAAATGGATCATTTTCAGTGAAAATTTGCCCTTGGAAGTTAAATAATGACTTGAAGACTGAAGTGCCGTAGTTTAATTGAAAGTCAATGCCAAGTTTAGCATTAAATTGGTTTTCTTGATGGTATTATTTTATAATACATACTTGAGATTCGCTTCGTTGCTATTTTAATTTGCGTCGTTTTTGGTTGGAAATTTGACTTAGACACTAAAAAAGTTTGGTTCACGGAGTGTCATTTTACTTTGCGACATCACAATATAAATACATGGTCAGCTGATTCTCTTTAACAGTCGTTAGTTTGCAAGCTTTGGTGGAAATCTCAACGAGCAATAAGACTCCGGGCCCAACTAGACGTGATAGGGGGATGCATTTTCCTCGTCAACAAAATTCGAAAATTAGACGTGTTTGCACTCAGATTTAATAAAACTTAATGATTTATTTGGCTGTTTATTGTTGACTCACCGACCGAGTAGAGAAGACGACTTGATCGTATGGCGTCACTCGTCTGGTTATCAGTCGGGCCTAGTTAGCCAGTTATTCCTTATAGATGCCTGGGCTTGATGGCAGAGGATGTCATAACCGACTAGCGGTTGAGGAGTCCAGCTGATCTTAATCGAACATTGAAATTTGAGGTTAGAACCAGGCAAAAATAGTAAGAACGCGACAATTAGACGACCTGTCCGCTACAACTGACATGGACAAACATCTGGCCTGCTGGGTTACTCAATCTGGCCCGCCTGATGCCGCCACAACCAAACTAAAATCAAATTTTGTTGTAGGAAAAAAATAGCTAAGGAATTTGTGGAGATTGCGATTAAATTTAGTTTTGGCACTAGGCTTTCCATTTTTGCTTTTCGATACTTTAAATAATATTGTTCATGAAACGTAACTTTTTACATGGCCGGCCAGTCTAGGTGGGCAAAATTTTTAGCCTCTTGTCTGAAAAGCATGCCCACTTCTGCATTACAACGTCACGCAATACCAACTAGTACTAGGTAGAGAACAACGAGAAATTTCTTATAAACCTTACATATTGAGTGAACATGCATGAACCCCAACAACCCTGTGCAAAATGTGCCGCTCTAGAAGTGTATGTACCAATACGAGGGTAACTAATTTTGTTCACCTATTTTTACATCAAGTTGCATAAAGGGACTGAAACCTATAGGGTAAAGGGGTATATTCACTTGGCTTGGCTAACACGGACTGTCCCCGAACTCGTAATAGAACTTAAATAAGGAAAATTAGAATATAATCATGGCCTAATCCTACCAAAAATATTAGAAAACAGACAATATTTAATGATTTTATTCGCAAATCGATGTGTTGTTAGCTATGGTTCATTTGTACATAGGGAGAGATAAATATTTTACAGTTTCACGAAAAATTAACGCAAATAATACAACCCAAGCAAAAATTATTCAAAAGCATTCTGCTTAGCTTAAAATGGCTGTTTTTATATTTTTAACACAGAGGGAAGGAATATTTCTTAGTCGAATTAACATCAATTTTATTATGAACCACAAAAATGAAGAAATTTACCAGGTTGGTAAACAAACAATTAAATTTTAAATCGCCTCATGAGGGCAACGAACAGACCAAATGCTGGCAAAATGTTACATTAATGGCTTTTACCGACTGTGAATATGCTACGACAAAAGATTTAAATTTAAGCCCAAATTTCAATTCTGTTTAAGATAAAATTATTAATGTGATTTGTAATCCCCAAGGCCTTAAAATGTATTATATCGCTCATTCAGTGATATGATACACTTTGCAAATGTAAACATTATTGCCCCTTACCGTTAAAGGTATTAAGTTCTAGCCAACCTTAGAAAACAAGGAGAAATCGCATCAGTTAAGAATTCCTGAAAGAACCTGACTATTCTCCCTGTTAAATGTTATTGGGCTCACATTATTAAACATAAGCAGAATTTCTATTATCGAATAATTTGAAGCTTGGAAGCATAATAGTAGCAAGGAATTGAAAATGATATTCTCGCTCTACACAGATAAATGATAAAATATAATAATGGTGGGGAACACTAATCAGTATGAGAAAATTGGGTAAGAATATATAGGGGAACACAACAAAAAGGAGTGTGGTATATTTAATTTTACAACAAGGTTTCATCAGAAATAGTTTTGCAGTAATTCTATTATATTCCAGCGTTTTAGATCAAGGCTCTAGAGCAGTGGTTCTCAACCTTTTTTTTTCGTTCGTGGCACCAAAATACTACGGGCTATTAATTTCTTATGTAAGGGGAAAACTACTAGATTTTTTCACTTTATTAGATAAATTGAAAATTACGACTCATTGGAAAAAAACAACATCATCATTCATTGCCACTACAATTAAAATTTAACTATGGTGACACGAATAAAACTAAATTTTTCAATAACTAGAACAGTAATTTTGATAGGTTTATGGCCCATGACCCACAGGTTGAAAACCACTGCTCTGGACCGACAGTCACGATAATGAGATATAAAATTCAAAAGCCAATATTTTTTTTTGACATATTCCATTTACTTCAAGTTAAAGATCACCAAGCATAGAAACATATTGAACGAAGGGCTCAACCATGCTAGAATTAAAGAGTTTGAATTTTTGAAAGCTAGGAATAAAGGAATATGACAAAAAATTTTATCTATTCTATGGGCAATTACTGGGCAATATTGATATCCAATTCAATAGAGAGATGAAAATGTTTGGAAAATGACACTTCTGGAAAAATTTTTTGTTTTTGTTTTTCTGTTTGCAATCCCAACAGGAGCTAATGAAAGTATATACCAGTAGGAACTTTTTAGCAATTTGGAATTATTATGAACTGTATGAAGTTGAACTTTTTAAAGTATTCCTAACAATGTCCACCAAAACTTTGCAATCAATTTCATAGATTATATTACATTTATAAAGATCCAAACTGCATGTCAGACAAAAGTTATCCCTTTTATAAGAATTTATATAAAAAATTAAAACGTCAGTACCAGTATATAAGTATATTTTAGAAGACTGTTTGGATTTTATTCAAAAAAGATTCTCTATGCCAAAATCTGTCACTTCAACAATTAATTGTAGATATAGCATACTTCACAGAAAAAGAACACCGGGAATTTTGACTATAAGAACTCCTAAAATCACATTTCAGCTTGGTACTCATTTTGAATACTACTTCAATCTAATTAATCGATTCTAAACCACTCACAAAAAATCAGTGTTCCCCATGAGATTAGGATTTTAAAAAAAATATGACACTTGAGAAAAACTTTCAAGTTAATAATTCAATGAATCAGTTGTGATTAGGTAATGACTATCGAATAACATTCAAAATTTTATCGCAGAGTTAAAATGACTCTAGGCTTTGTTGGATCTGGCTTTATTGCTATGGCATTTGGGTAATTCATGTTTTTATATGGGAATACTAATGTTACCTGCTTTACAAATAACAACAATAAGGAAATAGGTATTAATATTCTGAAAAATTTTGACCTTTACCAATTTTGGCTCATAGTTAATTATTTATTTCGTTTTATACAAAGTTTTTACTGACACTTTTAACTCGGAGTAAGTTATAAGTTTCAAATGCATGGATTTGGATGATATAGGGAGCTGCTGAATTCAGTAGTTCTCCACGCGTTTGAAACAAGTAACTGGTTAGCTAATCCCATACCAGACCTGTAATGCTAAACCCTAGACGAACTGTAGTTTCTATATGATTAAGCCATGTCTTCCTTACCCAAAATTGACATTAATACCTAACCATCCAAATTATTACATGCTATGTTGCTCAGTGAGAATGGAATGATTTTCTGGTGTGTAAGTGAATAATATGCCAAGAACCAGCACAGCCATTTCAGTAATATCGTAGAATCAGATGGTCCAAAAGAAATAAGTTATCCAACCTCATATTATTCCATATGACGATATGTAGTGTCATTCGTGGCCTATCGGGAGTGCAGCCAACAGTAGTCCACACTCAACAACATTTGAAAAGAGAATAAAAAACAAGAAAACATAATATAGTGTCCAAATTTCAGTGCCAATTTCGACAATAATTTGAAAATCATTAAAGAATGCACAGACAGACGGATTCACAGCAAATCAAACACATTGTGATGTCACAACTCACATCATATTTGTATCTATGATGTCATTATATTGCAAATAAGATCAACAACAAAGCATTATGACTTCATAACTAAACAAAGACATCATAATTAACTCAATATAATATATTGTGATGTCATTATTATAATAATTACTCTTTACAAAATATTTTTAAAATGCAATGTGATATCATAATTCCCTAGAATAATGATGCCATGTGACATGAACAATTTTGTGACATCACAATATGTGCTAGAACTGTCGCGCACCTAGGGAAATATATATGCAACAGGGGTAAATTCTTAGTTTTTTTTGCACTTTATTTATTCAATTGCTTCCACAGCATGATTTTGACTCGCTCTGCTGTTCGTTTTGCCTCAAATCGACAGTGCGCTGTCGATTTGCGTTTGTTCCTTGTTCATTCTTCGGAAGCTTCATGGCTGGAATTAACAAAAGAATAAAAAATTATGATGAAGAAAGTCTTCAGTTGGGAAGATGTGGTGTCTTGCAATCTATTCCCGAGGTTTGTACAAGCAGTTACAAACAGAAAGAGAGTTTCAATATTTCCTTTGGGTTTTGTAATAAATTACACCCTGAGTGAGGTATGAACTAAATCATCTTTACTTGTCCAAAAAATCCCCCGAAAACCTTTCCCCCATTCCCTTCCCAAAAAAAAGATTAATTAAAAGAATATACAAGAATATTTATTGTGTCTATTATAGTACCATCCAGAGCTTGGGAGATGGTTTGAAATCACAAAGGATCCGGTGCTACAATGTATCCAAACTGTGAGAAGCTGAACATTAACGTTATAATCAAACGGCTAAGTGCTGGAGTCACTCATACACAGGGGTTTTTAAAGGACAACAGAAAGATATTGGGTACTGGGCAGCCCATGAGCTTTCCTTGCCGTAGGGGAAACAGCCGAATAAAATGATCTGTTATCATGGTCACAAAACACAATCGTTTTTAACAGAACAAATGCTAGTACAGAGACAGTGTTGCTTGATTTTCTGGCGCTCCGCTAATTGTATTTGTGACAAATGACAATCAACTTTTCAGGCTAAAAAATTTTTCCATTCTGAAAGTGGGATCCTTGCTGAAATTAACCACCCCTGATTTACAACTTTCATTCAAATCAACAAGATGGCCCATAGTATACTAAAAAGGTTGAAATCACTGATTCAAACTACAAAATTGTGCAAATTATAAAAATGTTTCCAATCCAAGTCCACTTTTATAATTTTCTCAGCCATGCTAATACATGAGTCAGCGCTGTGCATTATTGATTAGCATGCTTGTCATATATTAACAAAGATATTGATTTTTTAAGATAAGACATTCTGTCTGAGAATTAAACGAGTAACAGTAAATATGATCAAGGAAAAATTAGTTGAATCGGACCCTTGGTGTCAAAGGTTTATTGAAGATTCTGGTTCGAATATACCCAAATTATTGATTGGCCATGGATAGATGCTGAAACATGAATGAAATGGAAGGGGCTCCTAATAGGAGCGGGTACTAAATTGAAGCCTTATTCAATACATAGATGTATAAATCTCATAACATTTAGAACTTCAATAATTAGAACTACTTTTTGGTTAATGTAACTCCACATTCACACATTAATGCCATTCAAATTTTATTTCCAATTAATGTGTTGAAAAAGCTTCAATTGGGTCAGACAAACGCTCAATGAAACAGATTTTTTGATTTTCAAATTCCTCTTTTTCTTGAAATACTGGTGAATATGGTTTGAAATTTTGATAAAAAAACAGACAAAAAAGAATCTATTTCTTCGTAATTTTCATAAAATTTAAATATTAGGTCAGGAAACCCTTGAGTTATTCCAAATGAACTATTATCGATGAGTGTTACCACACATGCGGCCTACCCAATACACATGCTACATTTGACATTCGATTAAAAAGATATACTTCATTGAACATTTGATTAAATTTAGTTTTGCCATCCCTGGTCAATGCATATAATCTATCTTTATAAAAAACCATTACCTAAGAAGCTCAAATGCTATCCGAGCATTTCCTAATATTTCCATATAAGGCAAACCTAAGCAGGTCGACCTTTATACCAATGAACACGAGAAACCTTGTCTGCGAATCCCATGAACTCGTAACCTCAACACATGGCATGAATCATGAATGTAGGAATGACCAGACAAGTTAACTATTCGGAATACAATCATGAAATACTGGAATGACTTGACAATAATTAGGTAAGCGGTTGTCCATAGCACCAGTATTATTATTCAAGATTGCATTTTGTCTTAAGCCATTTGAAATAATTTGTTTGTTAATAATACCATATTCGGCCGAAACCTGTCAAAGCATTATTCAAAAATGATTTTTTTAAATAAATGAGTTTGAATGGGGAATTGCATAAAAGTTAAGGCAGCGATGATCTCATACTCTACTCAATAGTTTACAGAAATTAGATGGAGCACTTCCTGGTAATACCAATAAGGCTTGAATTTCTCGATATTGAAATTTTCAAAAAAACAAATTATCCAACCGTAAATCTTTTCTAAAGTGGAGAATTCAAGATAATGAATAAATTTCGTCGATTCGTTTTAGGTAACCCCGTTTATACAACGTAAAAATAGTATGCTGGAGAAGTAAAAACAAACAGTACATTTTTGCGAGGAGCAAAGGTCTTCTATTCATTAACAGTTAATATATAATAAAACGTGATCGTAGTAAAACAATTGATCAGTGTTATATAATATTCATATCCTGTCAAAACCTTACAATACAGCCAGCAGGAAGAAGATGCATAGACGTATTAGATGTTAATATTGTATATTTGTGACTAGAAATGCTTTTCAAATACTAGCAACACTGTTCAAATTTCCCTATACAATTTTACATGTTTTGTGTTGTTGTTATACCGATATTTAAAATTGATCTGATGGAAAAAAGGAAAAAATCAATACACCAATGCGTATATTATTTCATTAACGTATTTTTTGAATAAGCTTTTTTGATATTTGAGAAAATGTTGCTTATATAACCAAATTTTCACATATATCCTACCAGCAAAAAATTGGTACTCCTGAAGTATGTGAACCAAGATGGTGAACACCGAAGGTATCATGTGTACCAGGTTAGGGTTGGGCCATAATTTTATTCCAATTTTCCTTAATTTGGTTCTATTACGAGTTCGGGGACTAGCCAAGTGACTCCCGTAGTATTTGTACCTGAAATTATGGCCTAACCTTATTAACCTGGTACACATACTACGTTCTGGCCTTCTGGTGTCCAACATCTTGGTTCACATACCTAGGGAGTACCAAAAAATCATCCAATCCTGAATGGTACTTCAAATCTGCTTGCCATACAGAGCACTTGTATGTTCAAGGACTGTCAGCATGTGATACCGAAACAAATAAAAGCCCAGACTTACCGATAGCAAGAAATATATCATTAACATTCATCGCTGTTTTAGCCGAAGTCTCCATGAACAACAGACTGTTCTCTTCAGCATAGGCTTGTGCGTCCTAGAAGAGAGAAAAAAGCTTTGATTATCAGGGGGACAGGACAGGAGAATTAAGAGGTTTCCCTAAGTACGCACCCACAAGAACTTCTAGTGAGTGTAGCATAATGATTTTTGCCAACAATATTCCAACCCCCACCTGACTATGTGTCCAAAAATTATATCACAATCACGTCACAGAGTTTGCCTGAGCATAGATTGTATAAAATGGCATCTGTGCCGACTATAATGAACTCGCTGAGTTTAGCGATTTCTCTCTTATCGGTATCATTACGATGAGAAAACAAGGAAAATACCTTGTTGATTTCGGATGATCGTATGTATGTTTAAAACAACCATTTGTATACTTTAGAGGGCCGCAATAACGTAATTTTTGGGAGACGTAGTCAGGTGGGGGCTGGGAATGACATGTGTGAAAATTGTTGGAATAAGCCAACTAGAAGTACTTGTAAGCGCCTGAGGTAAGACCGCTTGTGCATATTCTGAATCATGGCCTCTGCCTCAAATCCTCAATATTCCCTCCGGATCAGGTATGGTAAATCTTTAATAATGGTAAGTTTATCATAATGGTGCATGGACTTGATTAACAGAAGCTGAAACAAACCACCATAAAACCTTGGTGGGTCCAATAGCACATAAATATTCTCCTTAAGATTGAAATCTATTGACTTATGTATGTTACACACACCACTGATTATAAACCATTCAAAATCAAGAGAATTCTATGATGTTAACCTGGTGAACTTTTTTTTACTGAATGATACATATATAGTAGGTATATGTATAATACATACATAGTATATTTATATCACAAAAAAGAGGGTTGAAGAATAAGTACTACTATAGCATTAGGTGTACTGCCATATATTATCAACAGAGGTGAAGCCTGAATAAGTGTTTATCACCTTAAATGTATAAAAATAGGTGATATCCATGCGAGATGGAAAACGCAGGAGAAGACTTCACGCTGTAGAATAAGCTCGTGGTAGATGTCACGCTACCTTGTGCTATAATAGCACTCAAAATTGTTAGAATGTTTTCAAATTACTTGTGACTTGAAGAATCACCATGAAGTCCATTTACTTAACAACATAATTTCTACTTACATCCAGTTCAACCATTCTTTTATTAGAAAGATCAGCCTTGTTCCCAGCAAGCGCAATCACGATGTTAGGGCTTGCTTGTCTCTGTAGTTCCTTGACCCATGTTTTAGCTCGGGCAAACGTTTCCTGTTTAAAGATATATTAACAAGTTGAAGGTTCAGCTGATAATAATAAAGCAAGGGGCGTCCGACGAACTGAATACATTCAAAAATATTCGTGTTATATAAATTTGGGTTCTGTGCGACTACTTGTCCTTATATGCTTTCATGCGGATGGATCTGTATGCATATAATGCAAGCATGCTGTAGCAAGAGTAAAGATAACTATTCGAAGGGATTTAAGACTCCTCTACTAACACAAATGTATTTCTTTAATGTTTCATATGACCGAGGCTGATTGCTTTTCTTGTAATAGTTGAGCTATGTATGTCTGAGGAGTCTGACTTTGGTCATATGTTACAGAAATATATTTGTAGTGTGTACTGTGCAGCAGGACTCTTGAATCACTTAGGATTATTATAGATGTTTGAATTTGTTAATATTCAGAATAGGTCATTTGAAAATCTGTCATTTTGACCATTTAATATTGAAATCTCTATTAAAAATTAGATCTTATTTTGTATCTAATATAAAATTTTATTTCAGTCAGAATGTATTCCGGATAGTGGAATATTCAGTTTTTGCCATCCCTTTGTAAAATATTGAGACTACAATGGGTAGTGTTAACATACTTCCATAACTATTGTTAACTAACTATCACAACAACTTACTCATAAATAAAAGAAGCTCAAGAAATAGTTGAATCGGGTCACTCGGGCGACAGAAGAAAAAAATTCCAAGAATTCAATGAAGCCACATTCACACATCATAAAATATGAGCAAAAAAAATTTTAGTCCTCGCAATTTTTGAGATATCAATGAAACTTAATAATTGAGTCTTAATTGCAAGTATTTTTACTCCATGTAATAAACTAAGCATTAGGAATTTAAAAAAATGCAATCAATACTTGTTTCCATCATGGGAATGCCATAAGTAACGAATATAGTGATTAAAAAAGGTTCACGAGCCTGGATTAACACTCAGATCACACACACATATATCAGAGTATGACTCTAATTATGCAGATATTGACATGTGAGAAGCTTAGCCATTGATTCTGGATTATTTTTTAGGTTTACACACCATTTTCCTGAAGGAAGCTTTAGACAAGATACCAATCATAATTATGTGGAAAACTAAATTAGAACAGAGTATTTACCGTACATTTAGGGTACCATACAACTTGATGTAAAGTAGGCGAACTAAATTAGTTACCTCCATATTGGTACACATACTCTGGAGCGCCCATTCTAGTATATCCTATTCAATTTGTTCTGGGAATATGATTCGAAACAGAGATTTATAACTTACAACAAGGGATAAAAAAAAACGAACACGTCAAATATGCTTGAAAATCGTGGATAAATTGATAATATAATCAGAATAAAAAATTCTCCATTTTAGCTCATCCCAGGTTTTACGTCCACAACACCAGTATAATATGACCAAGACATCATGACAAACGATAAGTCTTCACAATTTCAATGCTTTTAAGACCCGCAAAAAATAATTATGACCACGGATTCATCATTTTGATCAAACAATCGATGGAAAATACCTGGTTTGTGATGTCATAGACAACAATTGCTGCTTGAGCACCTCTGTAATACATGGGCGCAAGACTGTGGTATCGCTCCTGACCGGCGGTATCCCATATCTCAAATTTTACTGTCGTATCTTGAAGACAGACTGTCTGTGTGAGAAACGCGGCTGAAAAAAAAATATAGTGAATTACCAAATAAAATATTGCTAATCAGACCAATTTACATCCAAAATTTAAATTATTTTATAAAGGTCCATTCAGAGACTTTCTTTTTGAGAAAACCACTCAAACCAGTCAGTATATTGGCAACTGATATCTACAGTACAGTTCTTTCAAATAAAATAGCCCCGACATATCAGAGGGTGCATGTACAGGAAACAAGAATTGTAAGAAAAAATTAAGTAATTGGTTATCAGTAATTTATCTTCCACTATACTGAAAGTAGGCCAAGACATACAAAATTTGGTAATCTCGTAGTATGTGTACCAGGTTATTTTATTCCAATTTTCCCTATTTTAGTTCTATTACAAGTTTGAGACTTTCAGTGTTAGCCAAGTGGATATACCCAGTGGTGGGATTCAAATTTTTTGTCAGCCGGTTCCATCATAAAAATGTCGAATTTTCAGGCGGTTCTGTTACAAAAAGTCATGTAATGCTAACCGGTTCGCTGATCTCATAAAATTCTGTGAGACGGTTCTATTGAACCGGTGCGAACCGGCTGAATACCACTACTGGATATACCCCCTGCGAATAGGGCGATGTACAGTAGGCGAATAAAATTAGTTACTTCCATATTGATACACACACTTCTTGTGCACCTAAAAGTGCAATAAATTATGAAAAAACGGCATTTCAGGATGAAGGAGACTTGGAAAACCAATACTGGCTATTGCGCAGCGGCACCCATAATTGAGGGATTACTGTCATTACTCTTAGTTGAGACTTGAGCTTTGCTTTAGGAACACTTTATTAAACGTAATTGAAAATTAATCTACTTTTGACCCAAGACTACACAATTAAAAAAAAATGACTCCACCCACCTCCTATTGTAGACTCCTGATACTCATGAAATTGCCCTTTTACAAAACGCAACACCAAGCTACTTTTTCCAACAGCTGATTCGCCGAGAAGTACAAGTTTAAACTGACAGATTTTCCCAGGGCCTCCAGGCCCGTTCGGTCTTTGTTGTGGGGATCGTGCAGCCATTATATTAGTTTATTTATTATATTTAGTAATCTCAATACTGTAATTCTGTTAAAAAGTGATATTAGAAATTACTGTTTGACTGTCAGATGTCAAATGCTCAAAATACCAGCTTTTCAGATTAAAATGTTCCTAAAATCCAGAAGTTTCTACATTAAATATAACTACCGTAATTTAGAATGTACCAATCAATTTTTAACTTGTATTGAAATTCCATCATTTGAAACAAGGGCTCCCGAAGTTGATTGACCACAGTCCAAAATTAGAAGCGGAAGGATATAGGGGAGCGCCTGCAAGGGACTGATGTCGATACTGGTACAAAAATTAAGATACTAATATAATTGAATTGTTACGAATATGCACGTGCTGAGATAATACTGAGATAATAACGTAACAATTGGACAATTGGCGGTATCTAGTACATGAAAAGGTAAAAAACATAAAGTGTTAAACTATTTCACTTAAGTTCGCCAGGCCATATCAAATCATTATGTGGACCGTAATTGGTCCGCGGTTTGGGAAATATTGATTTAAAATAACACATTCTTACATCATTGGGTTTCATAGCAGTCAGCATAAACAAAAAAGCGAAAATTCCACTGACAAGATGCCACTCAAAAATAGTTTCATACCATCACCAGATAAGATGAACACATGACAAGAATACTCCTTCATAAATTCCACAAGCTAATCAAAAAAGAACTCAATTGCTTATCTATCAGCACAGCACATTCTTTATTATTGCATTCCTTTTCTATAATATGCAAAGCATCAGTGTTCTAGAAACCGACAGTCCTGGCCAGGTCAAAATTAGACTAGTTATGGCCACTTTGTAGTCTCATATAGAACATAGCAAGAAGAAATATGACTTAGTTACATTTTCAATCAGTTCATTTCTTTTATGTTTATCTGGAATTTGCAAATTATTAGTTCACTGCAAATTGGCATTAAAAATCATGATTTCATGACGAAAAATCATTTTATCAGGGGTAACCCACAGTTGGCCAAAGCTGAACGACATACTAATATCAAAACATAAAAAAAAAATTCCTAACATGAAATATAGGTTATACCAGTATTTTTCAGTTCCCAGAATTTGAATGAAGGCCTTTTCATAAATTTGGTGCGAGCCTAGCTTCCTATCCTTCCCCTATGCTATTATGCTAGTGGATCCCTATGTGTATACTGCAAGGATGCTGTAGCTGGAATAAACATGACTATTCTATCCAATTAAAGAGTCCTGCTGCATACTAAAACAAAGGTATCTCTGTAACATTTCGTCAGTCAGACAAGCAGTTTACAACAATGATTGTTGTAAACTGCTTTTAGATCATACTGTGGTATTTCAATTGCTCAAAATATTAATTTTTTAAAATGAAACTATTCTAAATATTTAAATACATTTGCATGTTCAATTCCCCAATTTAAATTATATTCAATATACCATATGCACAAATTTTAATATGAAAGGTATTACAAATTAAATATTAATACAGGTAAAAATATTAAGGTATTCGGATAGAAGATTAGTTGGTTTGGCCATCCCTCAGTAAAATATTTGGACTACAATGGACACTGTTATTAACATACCTAACTATAGTGAAAACTACCGTAACCTGTTAAAGGTCAAGACAATATCTATGCAACTGCTCAACGGCACTCCAGAAGTATGTGTACCAATATGAAGGTAACTAATTTTGTTAGCCTAATTTACATCAAGTTGTATAAAGGGACTCAAACCTATGGGATGGGCAGGGGGTATATTCATTTGGCTAACACAGACAGTCCCCGAACTCGTGATAAAACTAAAATAAGGAAAATCGGAATGAACTATGCCCCAACTATAACCTGGTACACACACTACGGGAGTACCATTTTAACACTGTAATACTCTCACCAGTACCACAGTCCACTACCAAGAGTGAGAATACACTACTAATAAAAAGCAAACAATTGCGTAACCACCATGTATGTTTGCTGACAGTCATTCCTGTACATCGGATCAGATATCACATGTATTATTTTGTACAAAGAAGCTCATACTGAGTAAATATTACAATCAGTATACACTTCATAAGTAAAATGAATTGAATATTTAAATACATTCAAATTTGGATATATTCAAATGTAGAGGTATAGGTGACCTAAAAAACAGAACAGACATTTTTTTATTACTTTTATGAATAAGAAAAAAATTTATTTATTAAAGCATGTTCGTGTATGATTATACCCAAAAGTTTTTAGTAATCTGTGACGCTTCGCACAAAAGTTATGTTCCCTCTAAAACAGTGGTTCTCAAATGGTGGGGAGTGCCCACAAAGGGGGCGTAGACAATTTTTTGAGACGGCTTGAAGCTAATTAAAAATAAATGTATTTGTTAAATTTGATCTTGCCCGCCTTATTTTGGATATGAACATTTCAGAACTTTTCATTTATCTCATTCTTCAAGTTCCATCCATGTGTTTTCAACGTGTTTTTTGAATAAAACATACTTTCGCCTTAATTGATGTTATTTGTAGCTTATTTTTCAGCTAGTTATTTTTGAGGAGGGGTGCGAGACTTGACAAATTCTATGTTTGAGAACCACTGCTTTAGAATATGTTCCAAATGGCCTGGGTTGCACCCTGTATTTGAGAAATAATATGGAATAGTTTTATTCCAAAAAATTATTTTTCTGTCATTTACATCTGACAGTTAGGACAATCATAATGAGGAAATCCTGCTGTAAAATCCCAATTCCTGATTCAGAACATATAACTTTTCAAAAAAATTACGCCAACCTATTCTAAAAATCAAAAATTCATAATATAATTCAAAACTTCTAAATAAACCAGTAATAACTAAGTAATACATAGATAGTTTGTGAACTATTTTTATCAGTTTGTACAAGGCTTGAAATAAATCGCAGTTAACTAGAAATAATCTATCAATATCAAAACCATGAACAATAACACTATTGTCTCACTATTTTCTAGGTACTCCCGAAGTATGTGAACCAAGATGGCAGACACCGGAACGTAGTATGTGTACCAGGTTAGGTTTAAGCCATAATTTTGTTCCAATTTTATTTATTTTAGTTATATTACGAGTTCAGGGACTAGCCAAGTGACTCCCATAGTATTTGTACCTGAATTTATAGCCTAACCCTAACCTGGTAGGCTGGTACACATACTATGTTCCGGTGTCGGCCATCTTAGTTCACATACTACGGGAGTACCATTTTCTACAGTTTCACAGAAATTGGATGAAGTCCTACTGAGAAACCTCATATCCTAAACACACGAGTTTTCAAATAAAATACACTTGTTTCGAAAATTTGTACCTAATACTATTAAATACCGGTATAACAAATTAAATATTTCAATGACACTAATGAATAGCCTACTAAAAATCAGTAATATCAGTACATGAATATTTTTATATAAACTGTTTTTATACTTTGTATGAGGCTCGACTAATCGGTAGACAAGTTAAGAATCCATCATTAACATAAATAATTGTTACAGAAATTGGATGAAGTCCTGCTGTGGAATCTCAATCCCAAACACACAACTTTCCAAATAAAATACACTAACCTGTTCTAAGAATCAAGAATTCATGATATTAAATGCAGGCATAACAAATTCAAAATCTATCTGGCATCTATGATTACAAAATAGCTTACTGTTATTAAAGCTAAACACTTAATAATCCAACCAAACACAAAATCCAACCTACTAGCACACTACAAAGAAAAGAAAGTCTGATTGTCAATATGAAAACATGATTCACAAATAATTTTTTAAACCATTATAGTCATTCCTCAGACGTAGAACTACATGAGTCAGACTGCAGCATGCATGACTAAATCACCATCACCATAGAAAATAGCTTCAGGTGGAATAAATGAACCAATATTATATCACTCGGAGGCCAAATTACTAAGCAAGAATGGCCAAAGAGAGGTAATATTATTCCGCATACTGTTAATACAGGGTGTCCATTAAGTATATGGTATTGGTAAGTATAGGTTTATTTCGACTCCATAATCGACATAACAATAAAATGATTGATAAAAACAAATGAATAAAAACTGATTATGAAATCAGGAGAGCAAACAAAACCTTAAACAAGGTTTCATAAAATGCACAGAATATATATAAGATGGAAGGTTTTGCCAAAAAGAAGTGGTTCATGTTCACTCACCTAAAGTCACTTTACAATTTCAATTTTTTTTTGAAGTCAGTTCTTAATTAATATATCTTATCCAGGTTTGTTTTTATTCAGTAATTGTTTTAGTAGTTTTACTTCATTCATTAATACATTTGTGAGGGCGAAAACAATATATGGTATAAATAAATTCCCTTTGATTTGAAATAATAGTTCAAGGGCGAATTATAGCAATACATGGCAAGGATGGCTCAAACCAAATATATTTTTCCAAACACTTCATCAATTACCCATTTACATATGAAATATCAAATTGGGTTATATTCTAAGAAAATTCCAGTAATTCAAAACAAGAGTTCCAATGCCAAATTATATGACTACCAGGCAAGGGTGGCCAAAACCGAATAATATACTATTCGAAAAACTATATGGAATAATATTTTGAATATAAGATGTAGGTACCGGTAATTATATTGTATTGGCTCATATTCTAGGTGGGGAATTTAAAGCAATAGATTTTTTATTTCTAATGCCAAACTATTTGAATTTGAATGAAATTATTAAAATAGCACACAATTCCCAGATTCTGAAATTGCTTCTGAAAAATTAGGTTTCATTGCATGATTCAACTCTTTCTTTCTTGTTCTTTAGATTGTATTTTGCTTAGATTTGGTTGGTTGGCCTTAATTATCTGGCATTGATTATCTGATTCAAGATCTGGAAAGATAATACCATACGTCAAACTCAGAATCACAGCACTAGCTACTTATAGACTATGGTAACTAAATCTGAAAAATAAGATAATTTATTGAAAAATAAACAATAATATCAAAACACACTTATTAACTCAACTTCATCATAAAACAGTGTTAGATTTAGAACAAAATAACATGATTGGA